CATAACCAAACACCATACTCACTGCCATCGAGTCTATGCAGACTCATACTGATCGGTGTGCTACCTGAGTAATCTGAGAAACTTCTATGTGAAGAACATGGCTTCAAGTTTGGCGGAAGCCTCATTAACAATGTGTAAAGCAAGGAGACACACCTTGCTTGCTGAATTGGAGGAGGACTTGGGCCACTTGCTGATGGAGATCAAAGATATGGATTGCAACTCAGTGTAAAGACAGCAAAAGTCCTCACAAGTAGACCAATATACAATACCATGATAAACAGAATGTAATTTCATTGTCAAGGATTGTATTTGACTTTGAGCATAATCAATGCTCTTGGAAGCAGCAATCAAGAAATCAAAATTGCATTAGGCACAATCCCCCTGTAAAAGGTTACAGAGCAGAGTTATCACTGTGAGGAGTTAGGTAGCTTGACCCAAACCACGGTATTGACAACTGCTTTTAAAAGGTGCACCCTGTCTAAGGAAGACAGGAGAAGAACTGATGCAATTGAATGATGATGTATTTGAAGACTAGTTGGAGTATCATTGGCTGCCAGAAGAACCCACAAGTCTGTCTTGGGGAAAGGATAACCAGAATGCTCTGAAGGCGTGGCAGTGCTGAGACTGTCTCAGGTACTCTGGACATGCTGTTAGGAGAGAACTGCCCGACAGAAGCATATCATGCTTAGGGGAATAGAGGGTCAGCGAACATGAGAAAGACCCTGGACTAGATGGATCGACACAGTGGCTGAAGGCAAAGATTGTGAGGATGGGGCATGCCAGGGCAGTGTTGTGTTATACATAGGATCCCTATCAATTGGGACTGACTCGATGGCATTTAAAAACAACATATGGTATCTCTCAGCAGCAAGTACTTTTGGTGGTACAGTGGTCAAGAACTCCTCTGCTAACTGATAGTTTGAACTATCACTCCTCCAGAGAGATTTGACCATTGAAAAGCCTATGGGGCAGTTTTTACTCGCTCAGTCACTGCCATGTAGTCAATTCTGACTCATGGTGACCCTATAGGATAGAGTAGAACTGCCCCCTACATGGCTTCCCACTTTGGTGGGATTCCAAGATTATAAATCTTTAGTGGAACAGAAAACCTCATCTTTTGCCCGTGGAGTTGCTGGTGGTTTCAAACTGCTGACCTTGAAGTTCACAGCCCAATGTGTAATTGCCTATATCACAGAGCTCCTTGGAGCAGTTTTACTCTATAATATATGGTCTCTACCAATTGACTTGACGGCACAGACTTTTAAAAAATTATATCATTTATCAATAGGCAATTGGTACCAAATTTTGAAACAAATCTATGTTTAAAAAGTATAGATTGGTAATGTACTTCCCCACATACAATTCTCCCTTTGTGTGTGTGTGTGCTACTGTACTTCTGCAGAAATACAGCTTGATAATCCCTTTAAGGTTATAAAGGAATTATGGGCCAATGAATGTTTTTACATATTGCTGGGTAAGATAGATATGTCCCTGTCCCCAAGAGTCCTTTCAACTATATTTGGCTGTATTATGTATTGGGCTGCGATCCACAATCTATAGTTCAAAACCACCAGGTGCTTAAAACTGCCAACAGCAGCTCCTTGGGAGAAAAACTGGACTTTCTACTCCTGTAACCAGTGACAGTCTCAGAAAGCCCCAGGGGATCTCTGTGAGTCAGCAGGGACTCAGTGGCAGTGATTGGGTTTCTTGGTTTTGTAACAGAAATACGACAAGTGGATTGATTTAACACAGAAATTTATTCTCTTTTACAGCTAAGTAGGCCCAATGATAGTGGACTGAAAGAATGTTGTAGTCTTATGAATATTTTGAAGAAGTTGGGCTTGTGCCATTTAGAAATGTGTATCATGGCCCTTCAAAATCATTAATCTTGTTGACCACTCAGAAGACTTGTATGATTTCTACAGGATTTAAACTGAGTTAGAATAATATTCACTAAGCCAAACCCACTGCTATTGAGTCAGTTGACTCATAGTGATCCTACAGGGCACAATAGAACTGCTTCCTAGGGTTTCCAAGGCTGTAAATCTTTATGGGAGTAGACAGCAACATCTTTATCCAGAGAAGAGGGTGGTGGGTTTGAACGGCTGACCTTGGGATTAGCTGCCAAATGTAACCCAACACACCACGAGGGCTCTTAGGCATAGTAATAAATGTAAATAATTGCAGTTTATAATTACAATTATATCCCAAAATAAATCTTTTTATAAATGACTTAACAATGACTAAATCTTTTATTCAGTATGATAGCTGACCTTTTTTAAAAATAAGGATAATAACTATAATTTAGTATGCTTATTATTATAACAGCTTGCAAACTGCTGTTGAAAAATTCAAATGTTATATAATAGATATTATTGGATATAGTATTTGACAAGTTATGGTTTGGAGGTAAGCATACAAAGTAGAGGGTTTTTTAAAAAATCATGTTACGGGGAGGAGATGAGCCAGTCAGGGTGCGATGTAACAATGATGAGAAATACAACCTTCCTCTAGTTCCTAAAGGTTTCCTCCCCGCTCCCACTACCATGACTCGAATTCTATCTTGCAAGACTGGCTAGACCAGAGGAGGTACACTGGTACAGATAGGAACTGAAAATACAGGGAATCCAGGATGGATGAGCCCTATAGGACCAGTGGTGTGAGTGGCAAAACAGGGAGGGTAAAGGGAGAATGGGTAGGAAAGAGGGAACCGATTACATGGAACTGTGTGTGACCTCCTCCCTGGGGGACAGACAACCGAAAAGTGGATGAAGGGAGAAGTCGGACAGGGCAAGATATGACAAAATACCCATTTATAAACTATCAAGGGCTCATGTGGGAGGGGGGAGCGGGGAGGGAGGGGAAAAATGAGGACCTAATGTCGGGGGTTTAAATGGAGAGAAAATGTTTTGAGAAATGATGTACAAATATGCTTTACACAATTGATGTGTGTATGGATTGGGATAACAGTTGTATGAGCCCCTAATAAAATGTTTAAAAAAAAAAAAAAAAAAGGAAAAAAAAATCATTTTATTGGGGGCTCGTACAATTCTTATCACAATCTATACATCCATCCATTGTGTCAAGTACATTTGTTGCCATCATCATTCTCAAATCATTTGCTTTCTACTTGAGCCCTTAATATCAGCTCCTCATTTCCCCCCTCCCTTCCACTCCCCCTCCCTTGTGCACCCTTCATAATTCATAAATTATTATTATTTTGTCATATGTTACACTGTCCAGTGTCTCCCCTCGCCCACTTCTGTGTTGTCCATCCCCCAGGGAGGAGGGTATACGTCGATTATTTAAAGCAGATTTCACCTTCTTAATTAAACCTCCTCCCTGTTTCTTCTTCTTCTTTTGTTAATGAGGTGCTTGGAAGCCCACTGGTCTCACTACTGCAGTGATTACTATAACCCTCATGGTTTGTTGAGATAGGACGGGATTCCAAAAGCTGGTTTCAGTGAACACATGTGTCCTTCTGTAACAGTTGTTTATTGTGTTCATTCATTTAAAATACGTTTATGGGTCGTCCCCATTGTGTGTCATTGAATCACAACTAGCAGGATTGAGGACTACATGTGTTTGATGTTCGTGCATTTTATCCTTGTGGCTCAGCGGGTTATGTGTGGGTTATGCTGACCCCGAGGTCAGCACTTTGAATCCACCAGCTAATCTATAGAAGAAAAATGAAGACTTACAGCTTCCAAAGGTGCAAGTTTCCTCCATCCTATGGAGGATCCCTGGTGGTGTAGTGGTTACATGTTGGGCTACTAACCTCAAAGTCAGCAGTTCTAATCCCTACCCACTGTTTGGGATAAAGAGGAGGCTTTCTTTTTCCATCAAGCATTACAGAACTCAGAAAATCACCAGGACAGTTATACCCTGCCCTATAAAGGCTCTATGAGTCAGAATTGATGCAATAGTAGTGAGTGTATCGAGGCTTTATAAGTCAGAATTCACTTACTGGCAGGGGATATTTTATCCTTATTAATATATGCTACATACAGTAAATTATGCTACATCCAATGTTGCAGTGCATGGTTTGCCGATGTTATCAGGCTAAGATGGTCATTTACACACATTCAATGTTGTACCAGATAGCAGGCAATAAAGAAAACTAAAAAAATGTAAGAACGGGCAAGAGGAATTAAATTTTATCAGCATTAACTTAAGATAGTGTCTTCCAAACAGAACCCAGCCATGCAGTTGGGTACAAGGTGCACTAATCTGTACTAGTACTGAATTTTGGAGGAGCCCTGGTGGTTTAGTGCATTAAGGATGGGCTGCTAACTAAAAGGTCAGACGTGTGCAGCCACCAATCACTCTAACAACGAAAGATGAGGCAGTCTGCTTCTCTAAAGAGTTCCTGCCTGGAAAACCCTGCATGACAGGTTGTACTCTTTCCTAATGGGTTGTTGGGAGTTCGGCTTGATTGTAATAGGTCTGGCCTTTTACTGAGGATTTAGCAGTATAGAAAATGGACCTATAATAACTGGGGGCAGGGTTGGAGTTTAGATTTTAGTGTGGAAAGCACACATGCACACAAGCATATGCTTTCCAATAGTGAGAAATATAAAAGGAAGATGTGATCGAACAACAAGAAGGGAGTGTTTCTAGGTCAAGAGGTCTCCTTTCAAAGGTGACTTAGGAGGTTCGCTGATGTAGAAAAGATGAGAAGAGTCAGTCATCTAATGATCTGGGTCCAGAGCAATGCTGGCCCAGGAACCAGCAAAGCACAAAAGCTTGAACAACACTACTTGTTCAGGAAACAGAGAGAGAAGTCCAGGGAGACTGAAGTCGGGTAGAGGACCATGAGATAGAGGTGGGGCCAGAAAGGCAGGTCAAGTTCAAACGGTGTAAGAGTTTGAAAGTCATTAAATGGAGTTTGAGTTTTATCCTACACTCAGTGGGCCTGGCCAGAGTCCTAGCCACCAGTCAAATGTGCATCGTCAAAAGACTTCTTTTCAACGGAAATCCCTTTCCTTTGTATTTTGTAGACTGGACCAGAGGGCAGCCATTTGGCCAAAGGATGCTTTGGGAACCCAACAGGACGTGCATGAGGTAGGTGCGCTCATTGTTGGTGGTTAATTCAGGACTTTAGTCTTCTTTTCACAGTTCTAGGACTTCTTTCTGTATACCACTTTTAAGTAGTTTTGCTCTGAAGTGAATTTTGTTCCATTGGTAATGTTGGTTGTTTTTTGTTTTTGTTTTGTTCTTCCTATTTCTTTTCTTGCTCTGAATAAGGCACCCAAGACTGCTCCTCATGCGTTAGCCTTGTACCAAGCCCAGCAGGCATTTCATTCTGCTCACGTCGTGAGGGCTGTCGGTGAAGAGTTGTGAGATTTTTCTCTTCATCTTGTTTTTTCTACATCTCCCCATCTCTGCTTTTTTTCTTAATGACTCTTTCAGCCTCTAACATCATCAAGCCTACTGTGTACCCACTGAGCATGATAAGAGTTTGGTGTTTTTAACTGGGTTTTCACGGTGTACTTCGAAACACAAAGTCGTAATTCTGAATCCAAGTGGTTTCCCATCAAACAGCACATCACCCTGCTAATTAGCTTGCCCTAGATTTCCTCTGAATTTCATAAATTAATTATGCTGTTGGAAATCAATATAATGTAAAATATAATTAGAGTCCATGTTGTTATGAATGTCTTGGCTTCAGACCTTGGTTTAAAATACCCTGTCTAGTTTCTTTTCCCCTCGTTATCTAATTAAGGAGTAGTGGGTGATATGTCTGATTAGGATCATAGCAAAGAGAATAATGCAATTTGATGTCCAGACAATTGGCCGAGAAATGATGGGCTTTGGGCAAGTTGTTTATTTGGCGTGTTTAGGGTGCAACCTTCTGCCATCCTCTTCAAAAGTATTTCACTGAATTTAAGTGGCTTCGTTTTTATTTTTTTACTTTAGAACTTGGCAGAAACCAGTGGTCAAAGGTTAACCAACTGCCTGGTGCAACTCGGTTATTAAATAACTGAAGTTGTAAAAAAAAAAAAACACCAAATGTCTGAAAGATAACATCGCCGCATGCTGCTTGTTATGTCTGTGTGCCTAGAGACAGCCTTCACACTTCACAGTCTCACTTGTGGTAACAAGAGTGAAAAAGAGTTGAAGAAAATCGAGGCAAGAGCCTGAATCAATGCACACAGCTGTCTGCCTCTGCGAATGAGCAAAATGCTAGTTGTAAAGAAGCAATGGTTTATTTTGACATCAGTGACTAGAAAAATGAGGTGCTTACAAGAGTCGCCTGGTGATGGGTTGTATTTTGGAGGCACCCTGAACTGTGAGCCAGAAACAGACGGGGATGCCGCTATTACTTGGGCATTTCTAAATCGCTGCTGCGAAAGAGGTTCTACTTGAAAATCGGGTTTTCTGTAGTCCTCCACGCTATAGAGTTTGTAAATGACATGGAATGTGCTGCTAGCTCACAACCTGGGCTCGAGACGTGAATCTGACCAAGCAGGGAGTGCCCTGTGCTAAAAGTGCCCTTTCCTTGAAGGCACTGTGGGCTAGGCATTGGGCTACTCACCTCAAGGTCAGTGGATCAGACCCACCAGTCATTGCTCAGGAGATGATGAGGCTCCCGTAAAAACTGACAGTTGCAGAAACTCCAGAGGGTCGCTAGGAGTCAGCATGGGTTCAATGGCAGTGGGTTTTTCCATGAAGTGGCGCTGCTGATCCACCTGCTTGTGTGGTGGAATGTGGGTGCATACGCTCCGGATGGGTTTCTTTCCATTCTAGGGGGAAACTCTATGTGCAGATTCTTACTCTTCAATGCTGTTTCTGTTGTGATCAAAAATTGAGAAACTGGAAGCGACCTTGGAGACAAGAGAAGGGGGCAGCAGAGGAGGAGGGGGACCAGGCGGGAAGGTCCAGCTTCACACTCATCCAATGTGGGTGATGTGGGGCACTGTCAAGTCGGCTCCAGCTCATAGTGACAGCCCCCTGCCCCCGCCGTGCCCTGCTCCCAATTGTTCTGTTTGAACCATTTTCACTGATTCTTTACCAAGCCCGGTGTCCTTCTCCAAGGACTGGTCTCTCCCGACAACGTTTCTGGAGTATGTGAAATGCAGTCTCTCTCTGCCTGCTGGCGGTGAGTCCGCAAAGCCAAGTACTTCCAATATCAGTTGCTAATCGCATACTTCAGATGCACCCATTCTTCTGCAGGCTTCCTTACTCACTGTCTGTCCTTGACCTGCATAAGAAGTGACTGAAAATCGGTAGGCCTCAGAGTGGCATCTTTTCTCTTTAACACTTCAAGCAGGTCTTTTGCCGTAGATGTGGTTGATTTCTTGACCGCTGGTTCCATGAGAATTGATCATGGATCCCAGTGAAAGGAAGTTTGTGACAATGACAATCTCTCCATTTATCATGAGGTCTCGTGGCTCAGTGGTGAAGTTTCCTATAGTGTGGGTCATGTGAATGGAACTTCTCCAAGTGGTTCTTCACTTACTGACTACTAAATGGCTTTAAAGAATAGCCCCTACTAATATTTGTTAAGCGCCAGAATACTCTGAGACACTAAGGGGAGACTTAGCTTTAATATGTTTATTCAAAATTGAAATAGCCTGGAGAAGAGTAAAAAAGTTGTAGGTATAGCTGAATGTGTACAAAATGTACACCCAGTACCTGGGTCAAGAAGCAGAATGTTGCCAACACCCCACATACCAATTTGTGATTTCTTCTAGTCAGCGCTTCCCTGCATCCTTACTAAGCTCTTATTAGACAACATTCCCCAAAGGAGCCATGACCACCTGGGGAGCCCCGTGTGGGCCACCTTGAGACCGCTCTGTCTCTGGGACAATGCCATCCAAACACATACCAAATTCTTGCAATCGAGTCAATTTTGACTCACAGCGACCCTTAGGACAGGTTGGAACTACCCGTGTGGGTTACAGGAATGTAATTTTATACTTTCCCAAACCAGCTCTCACAGGGTGATTCTATAGAAGCTATGATCACCATAAAAAAAAACCGTGGTCTCTGTGCTAAGAAAAATATTTGATCTTATTATCTGAGAGGTACTTCAATAACATTCTGTATTGAACTTTTGGATAAAGCAACTGTCAACAGAATGAATGCGAATGTATCTGTTTTGCCTTTTACCGGAAAGCCAATGGTCCTGGAGGTATGGTGAGCCACAAGGCAACGGGCTTTGAGGTTTGGTGATGGTGAAGCTGCTGCGTGCTCTCATGAGCCAACTGGACAAATGATTCTTCCCAGGCAGAAGGAGCTGATTGGCCAATCTTAAAAAAACAAACTTGCCTAAATGGTTTCACCTACTTGTCACGTACAAAGAAGCAGATGCTCAGCCCTGGAAAGTGTGCCCGTATCTTGTGCCCACTCATCAGAGTCTTGCAACTCTAGTGGTGGGGGTTTCAAGGTGGCCACACCATATGAGATCAATGTGGCAAATGCTTCTAAGCAAGAGTGCTGGCTTTTGTTATGTACCCAGAATCTAACTGAACGCAGCTCTGATCTCCCTTACATAGGGTTTCCACTGGATAAGAGGTCCCAGTGGGGTGATTGATTGCAAGAGCATAGTGGAATCCAAAACTTTCCTATAAACTCAGCTGTAGGTCAGCATAGGAGAGATAGAGATTGGATTAGGTTTGAAATCTTCAAAATGTATGGCAACCTGATGATACGGGCAGCCAAAGGAAACAGAAATGGTATTCAGTCCCAGGGGTGGAGGAATTGTGGTCATCAGCCTGGGGAACGAAATCACTGAATGGGAAAGGGATCGTGGGTGGAAAAGAAGAAACAACCCAGACAGATGTCACTGAGCCCTGCACACCCTCACTGCCTTCCGGCCAGTTTTGACTCCTAGCCACCTCCCAGGGCGGAGTCGAACTGCCCCTTTCGGTTTCTGAGCTGAGCCTCATCTTTCTCCCAGGGAGCGATTAGTGGGTTCAAACTGCTGACTTTGAGATGGATAACCCAATGGTTAGTGCAGTGTGCTACCAGGGTTCCTTTCGCAGAATCAGGGAGGATGATGGTATTGTCTAACATGCAGGAGGAGGGTAAAAAAGGTTCACCCAACCATGAGGATTGAGCCCTGCGTGCCCTTGGCTAAAACTCTTTTGAGCAAAGAGCTTAGGGAAAGGAGATGATTTCTGAAGGGGAGAAAATTCTGACCACAGTGTTTCTTCATGAGAAACGTTGACACAGTCACACTAGCTATATCATTTCGTCCAGTAGCCAATCGAACCTAACATATCTGTAAGAGGCTGACAGGTGCAAGGCCTCTGATGCCATATATTGTTCGGTTTGGGGTTTTTTTGTTTTTTTTCATTATTTAGAGTAAGAGGATAATAGAATCTCATTAGTGAAAATAATATTATTTCAAATATATTCTGAGTTTATAGAATAGGGTGGACCGATTTTACAAGACGTTTTAGAGATACATGCTAACTCACTGCCTGCTCTGACATTTCGTTTTGATGATAAAAATAGCGAAGTGGTTTCTAGATTTTTGCTTTTCTTGGTTGCTGGAGAATCCGAGGAAAGGAGGGTGAGCAGCCGGAGATCAGATACACTCGAAAGCTGGGTCCAAACTTCCATCACCAGGGCACAACATTCTTAGGAATATTACGGGAATTTTCAGGAAGAGTAATAAATTACTAGCACGCGACAAATGCTCAGCAGTCACTAATACCCAAATAAGAAGCCAAATCTTGGCTTTGTAGTCAGAGTCTTAGTCTGATCGGGGGGCGTCTGTTTTATGTAGCTGAATATAAAAAGGATCTTTGATTTGCCTGAAATTCATTGGGAAAATGTATCTTTTTTTATTCACATGGTGCCTACCCTTGTTTGTGGAATTACATTTTCATCCTAGTTCAATGTCAGCTTCAACATGAAAGATGTCTTCCTCTGTAAAGTCTATTTGAAGATGCCTGAGGTTAATCACTTCAGGTTATTAAGAGAGGAACATTTATCCGTGTATATGCTTATGTCCATGTCCACATGTGTCTGTGGACGGATGATTTGATTCTTTTCATTGCCACCCATAGTTTAGCACTTAGGTTACCACACTTCTCTGGCCTACCACTCCC